CACCACGTGGAGGTAAGTCTATCGCACACCCCGCGAAAACAATATAAATTTTTTTATTCTATCAATTACTCTTGTAGAAAAATTGAAATTTAAAAATTGATATGTGATTAGGTTATACCAAACCCAAGAAAAGGCTTGTTATATGGGAAAGGATTAAGTGCCGATATTGAGGAAATTTCAGAGTTGACAAGCAATAGGATCATTTGATTCAATGGCTGAGATACTCCTTCTGTCCGTTTACGCCTCAGAAATGATCAGCTTAATGGATATTAGGATTTTCTATTGTGCCTTAAAGCGAAGTGGTTTCCAAGTGTCACTTGGGTTTAAGGTGAACTGTAGACCAAAGAATTACGCCCTAAATGCTTCTTTTAATTAATTGCGAACCACCGATTGGTTGAAATCGTATTTTTTCTCTTTGAATAAATGATTTCGCAAATGCAGTTTTTGGAAATATGACCTTTTAATAGATCTTCCGTTATGGTGATTCATTTGATTTGCGAGTGCTGTCAAACTAGAAAAGAATGACACGTTGTTATCAACCCATCTTCCCAATTTTTTGTTCTCTCAACAAAAAATTGAAGTTCGAAAACGCAGAAAACGTATTACTCTGGAGTTTGGATGAAGTATCCGCGTCTTCTTGAATAGTACGGATACCTTCCACTTCATCTCTTCACTTGGCTTGTTTATGCTCGTCAGACATGCACATAGTCATCGTACTCGTTTAAGGTTAATGGATTGCTTTGGTCTTATTAAACCCCTTAGTTGTGCAAGTGATCAAAGTATTAAAGTATCTTTAATGCTATGAGCAGAGGAATTTCAGCTGAGCACAGTCCACCAATTTAGTCCGTTCTCAAACTATAAAAAAGGAACGATAACTTCTATGTGTCTGAGTGTCTTCCATCGCAACCTTTACTGTTTCGTGATGACTAATAAAGTTAGAAGTCACGTGGCCATGGGGTCACACATACTATTTTATGCCAATATGCAATTGTGTGAAGAGATGAATTATCCATGAACTGTGCTTAAAAAACTGGTTCTGAGAGATAGAAATTTTCAGGTTGAAAATATTCAAAAGACCATTTTAAACAGGACAAGACATTAGGTATTGCTTGCCGATCCGAATCCAGTCACCAAAATACATCAAGAGTTACTGGAATATTTCCTTTTAGTCATTATTTCATTATTTCAAGGCGAATAGAACCAAGTGGATTTAACGAAAGCCATGACCTTGAATTTGGAGGGGTCACACTATTTCATACAAAAGCGACTACCTTCAAAATTTCAAACTAATTTGGGGTACATAGTGCCAGTGGCTTTGTTATTCAAAGTAATGCTCAAAATTGCATGCAGTTATCAACTAAAAGGTCATTCAAAATAATCGAATATAATTCGTGACCACTTGTATTCCAAACATCACAATTTCAAGTTTTTTTTTGCAAGGAACCTCGCTGAAATAGAGTCAGTGGCATTCAGCGCTTGTTGATACATCGACTTACATGAGTGCATAGTCGTGGCATTCGAAAGGTTTGTATTTTCCCAAGATTTGAAAATAGCTATTAAGATGTTCAATCTTTCATTGGATAGTTGCATTTGGAGGTAATAAATTGGCAAGAATTTATTTGAAAGCTTTCCAGATCAAACGAAAGGAATTAAATTATCACGAGACAAAAAGAACATTTCATTTTTGAAGCTGTGCATTCCTTCACCCCCCCCCCCCCCCCCCCCCCCCCCCCCCACCCCCCCAATGAACAAGTCGCCAATGGCCGCGATTTGGAAAAACAACGATTTGATCGCGTGCTTTCATGAATTCCGAAATGAAACGGACTCAAACACAAACTGATTGGCCTTACAGTCGATAAGCCGATATTCCAACACGAGTAGAAGCCAAAACCTCATTACTGTTCAACTTGAACTATGTATATTAGTGTGTGCTGTTCACATTTGTCTATTAGCATAATTGAAAGCACACTAATGTAAAGAAAACTTAAAGTGTAATGTTAATGTTTCTGTTAAGCATAAACACTTAATCATTGGTAATTAATATTTATTTATTTATTTATGACAAATGGCAGGCGTTTTGATAGTTATCATTAGCCCTTTGGTTGACTTCGGGCTTCACAGAGGGGTGGAGGAACATCAAAATGAGAAGAATTCGAGAGGGGGGAACAGGAGAGTGTTTCAAAGATGTAAGAGACAGACAGGCACAAAGGTAGAGAAAAAGGCAAGGTAAGGTGAGCACTGTGAAAGGGGTCGAATATGACATACAGTGGGGTCATGACAGTTTGAAGTCAGATGTCAAATGCCGGTTTATTGACTTTTTTTGCTGTATGAATATAAGTTGCTCAGTGTGTTCCACTCATCGATGTACTATAAACCATATGATTATCATAAAACCATGGTAACTGTCAAAATGTTATAAGCCATGGAAAGTACACTAAAAATCACATTTATCTAACAAACCCATAATAGAATTTAACGCTCTCGGAAATTATTACAGTCATAAGGACAATATGTTGCCCATCATTTCGTGATTTCAGGAAAGCAAATCTTATGATCACACATATTATAACGCGAAAGTCAAAAGAACAGTGAATTTTCAAGTACTGACATGACTAGTCGACCGCGAACAATACAATGCGCTACTGATTACCAATGAATTAATTTAAGGTCACCATGCGAATGGCGTGGGCAACTAAGTTTAAAGCATGGTACAAATGTAACTTTTAGAAAAAAGGGTTTTGGGCAGGCAACACGTTAGCTTCTAAAAGGTTCAGGTTAACATTTAGTTGTATGAATCAAAAAAATTTCGCTGTAATATGATACTGGTTGGCGTGCACGATCGATTTACCTCCAAGTGGTGTACCCTGGGAAACGTATATTCATACGGCAAGTCTATTACCGGGCAGTTCGCTTCTGATTTCAAACTACCATGACTCCACTGTATGTCATCTTCTACCACTTCACAGTACTCACCTTACCTTAACTTATATTCTCAAACTTTGTGCCTGTCTGTCTCTTTTACATCCGTAAATCACTCGTCTGTTTCCCCATCTCTCTCGACTTTGTCTGTTCCTCCCCTCTGTGAAACCCGAAGTCAACTAAAGGGCTAATGATAACCATTATAAAGACTGTCATTTGATATTAATAAATAATGCTGGCTTAGTTTGGCATCAAATTGAAAATCCTGATTTACACCGAGCGTGATTTGTTGAGGTCAAAGTTGGCGCCACTTCGACGATTCGGTTATTTTTAAGGAGACAAAATTTTAAGAAAATCCTCAAAAAAATGCGATTTTCTTCCAATAAGTACATATCCTTTAGGTATTTTACTCAAATCTTTAACTAAACGCAGCCCAGTGGGAGAGAGAGAACTTATGGGGTGACCAAAGAAATGTCATATGCACTCAGACAGACTCGAAGGTGCGGCCATGTCACTTTTGGCATAGTGATCAAGTGCGGCATGAGGGCAGAGAACTCTCAACCAGACACCAATCAATAATACGGGCATTGTTTAGCAAACTCTTCATCGTATTTTAATGACTAAGCCTATCGCACACCCCATTCAAAAATATATAGATATGAAGGCAACAGGCACATGATGTGGAACACGTCTATTTGGGATGTGCGTCTGTCGTAGAGCTTAGTCATTAAAATACGATGAAGAGTTTGCTAAACAATGCCCGTATTATTGATTGGTGTCTGGTTGAGAGTTCTCTGTTTGACCCCAGTTCACCTGGAATATCAATCACCGACTTTTAATCGTATCTGTTGTGCGATGTTTCAGCTCATTTTCCGGATAACACGAAATTGACCAATTAGAACTATGAACTAGGAAGTGCTTTATATCGAGTCGAGCAGGTTAGGAAGCTGACGCTCCCGTTTCTATGCAGCATGCCAATTAACACATTTGGTGTTAATCAGCATAACACTCAAGACCCACACGCCAATCCTTGCTCTCACCACCCATTTCCAAATTACCAAATACCAACTGAATTCTTCATTGCCTTCTTACCAAATCAACAGCCTTAAACAACTCCTCCTTATCGCCTTAGTAACTTCGGCATAGTTATACCCAATGTCAGTCTCCCCCCACACAGCTACACCTCACTCTCCAACTCCTTGTATCAGCCTCTACAAACAGTAAATTAAGTATCTTCATCCTGTGTGGTCCCTCACATGTTCTCTTGAATCTTGATGAAGAATATATCCTCAATAAACCATCAATCATATTCCTCATTTAATAGTTCAACGGCACACAATTATTACAACACCTAGACCTAAAAAAGCGTTAATTTTAATCAAACATACAGGTCATTCGTGTATTCAAGTATAAGAGGGGATTGAAGGTTCTAATTCAACCCACTCTGTTCTCCGTAGTCCATATACAGAACGCATTGCATACATATGGCCACAGAGAAGCAAATTAACTAGTCGAGGTAACCTCATGGCCAACACCGTTTTGCTCTACCCATATAATTAGCTTAACTTATTCCAATTACTTCTTTCATGTCTATAATAGACACCTCCAGGCCCTTCAATTTCATATTGCCTTGCCTAATAAATGATCACTTGAGCCATTCTTCTACTTATGACTTACAATGATAAAAAGGTATTCAGCTTCACTAAATTAATAACCTCAGACTGTTATCCTCTTCACTAGTCTAGACTAATCTAGTTTCATGGCAACCCAAAAATGAGGTACAAAACATTTCTAAACTGCAAATTTTGACAATAGAAGATGGAGAGAGAGAGAGGGAAGAAGGAGCTAGCGGGGTCTAGAAGAGAGTTTGTTCTTCCGTTTGTTCATTCAACAAACACTGACAGCAAAATTTGAAGAGGGAGAGAGAGAGAGGCGGAGAGAATATACTACTGGGTAAATACTAGTAGTATGGGACAAAGCCTTTATTGATTTTTTGCTCCACCTGAAATGAAACGATTATTAGAATTGAGTAACCAATTCTTTTGTATGAAACATCCAACTGTTCAATAATATAAATTAAACTAACCGAAGGCAGAGGTGAAATCCGCCCATTCATCGGGATTCGAGTTATCTGAAGCCTTGTCACCTTCTGGAGTTGATATTTGAACAGAGGAGATAGCAGAAGTGGAAGTTTCAGGTACCTCAGTTGGCCAAGGAGAAACGTCTGAATACAACAAAAGACTTATTTAAGAATTACTACAGGAAATAAATACAATAATCAAATACAACTCACGTGTATCGAGAGGATTCATAGAGGCCGACTGGTTACCATTGGCTGAGTTCAAAACGGTAGGTGTCCGATTGGTTCGCTGTTGGCGAATCACAGCAGGAGACTGTAAGTCCTCTTCATCTGAGGAATCACTGACACTATCACTGTTATTATCATCATCTCCATCATCATTATCACTATCTCGAGTTGGCTTGCTCTCTTCCACGGGGCAAACAGGATGGGATAAACCACTAGAGCCTGGGAATTCGTCAAAAGCGTCTTCGTTTGGATCCGGCCGAGAAACCGAAGGCGTGCGACCAATGCCAATTGACCCAAGTCTGGAAGCTCTACAGTTACAATGAGGCGTAGAAATGAAGGGGAATGAGGATTCTTTGGGCCAATCGGACGGCTTAAGTAGTCTCCAAAAGGATTTATTTAGTCAAGGATAAACATCATTTTTGTGGAAGTTTGCCCTCCCTGTCCCCTACCTTTCACAGATTTAGACATAAAAATAAAAATTTTTAGAAGATCCAGTGACGGTTAAGCGTAGCATTAATGCCGCCCCCACCCCCACCCCCACCCTTAAAGAAAGATTCATTTACAGTCCACATAGTGCCTTGCTCAATGAGTATTGATTAATTTACCAGGGGAAAATCGTTGTTTGTCAATAGGCATTACAAAAGTATCACAAGGCTCAATATAGTTAGAATTCCCACCATTCATCACATATTGATCCGAGTCTATAAAAGCAGTTATATTTTAGTTAAGATAGCATTATGACGCACCAAGGTGAGAAAATTATCTAAATATAGAAAGCAATAATAAAGGAGCATGAGTGTTCTGTTAACTGGTTAGACCCTGAGTGAGCACGGAACCGAAAACCCTCGATGTAGTGGGACAAATGCACTAACTGCTGAGCCACACAGTGAGTGTTCGCGCTGTCGCGAACTAGCCTCAAAGGCAAATTAATGATAAGTGCAAATACATTTAGCAATCAAGTGAAAGTGATTGGTTGAACGCTTTTAACACCCCCACTCGAACTGACTAATAATAAAATATTAAGAACATCTCAAATGAAATAATCCAACTGTTTTACGGAGGAAGGAGGTTAAAAAGGTCTACATATAGAGCGATTAATACACTGTTTTTAGAGAAAAAACAATAATGACCGACAGGAATTCACAACTCAAACCCTTCCAATTAGCCAAGCACTTATTTTTGCAAAGTCCTGTGTGTGTGGAGGGGGGTTGGTTGGGGAAAAAATGTTCAAAATTCAACTGCAACGTCCTGAATGAGACTACTATGAAACTTATGCTCTTTCCACCCCGAAGCGTACACAAAAGAGCACGCACACCAAACCCCGAACATCAACGTGAAGTGTTTCGATGACTGTGATTATTACCCCCACCCCCTCATCATTATTGGCATTATCAAGAGATCAACTTACAGGATCTGAAAATCCGAACTGCCTTGAAGAAGCTAAAATGAATAATAAAAAAAGGTGTTAGGTGAGTAGGGAAGTACATCGGGATATACACAGCTAGCCACAAAAAACTAAGCCGACAACTTACTCGGGTTGAGGAAAAAAACTCTCCAATAAACTCCTATAGAGAATAATAAGTCATACACAGGCACAGTGTGAATGTGATGTGGAAGAAAAAGGAGGTAAAAAAGTACACAATCTCAATACTTAGAAAACGAAATAGATAGCCAGTGAACTTTCAATTTCTCGTGGAGAAGTGACTGATTCCATCCATGGTGACGTAATGTTGAGGTGCTGCTACACACCAAGCGATAGGCAATAAACTGACTCCGTCCAAGTAACAAGTTTTGGCAAAAAAAAATTCAAAATGACGAAGCTGGTATATATAGCATCCATAACTTATACTTAATTCACTAAAGGTATCAGTGAAGTGCAATCACTCGAATACAGAAGTTAAGCTTAGTCGTCATAATGTATAAAAAAGAAATTGGGCTGCGAAATTTATTACATTAAAGCAATAAGCGAGAAGGCTGTGAACTTTTGTCCATTCAGTCGACTTCAAAGCAAACATTTCAAGCCAGAAAAAACTTGGTTAAATGGCAAACATTGGTTTTAAAGGTCGAGATCCACAGGTTTCTGCATGAATTTTCTGTTTAAAACCTTTATTATTTACCTTTCATCGATTAAACTTTACTCATTTATAAAAAAATGTTAGCAGTAGTACAAGTAGTCAGACGTTCCACGCATAAAGGAGTACACAAGCTGGGAACCTAGAGAAAAGATGACTGAGACTAAGAAGTATTACCACTACCCTCTGCTTCAGCGGAGACTTACGCTTAGTGATAACCTGCCAGAAGGCGAATATTAGGTGGTTCAGAAACTGCTCAAGCATAAGAAGGATGGGCAAATACTGTACACACAGACACACACTATCAAGAAAACCGAAGTGCCAATTATGCACCCACTAAGTACTCTACAACTCCTGGTGAATTTCACAGCAATTCGCAGTGGACTTCGAAAATGCCACGGATACAACTTAAAGGGCAAAGTTTTGATGTAAAAAGTTACAGAGAGAGAGGGAGAGAGAGAGCAGGCAAAATGATTAAATGTTCACCTTAAATAATTGAGCTATTTGGTTTCCGTTTCCACCGATCTTGATTGCATCAAGGGAAATTGGTGCCGGCTTCTCGAAATTGTGATCAGTCTAGTTGAAAAGGAAGGAAAAGGTTACTTATCAGAAGCCCATTTTACTTATCCCTCCGTTGCTTAATCAAATTATTTACAAAACATCACCCATGGAGTGCGCTAATTGCAACAGCTTCTAAGCACAATCGAATTAAATGCTTAAAGACTTTAAACGCCCGTTACAGCGAATCTCTGGCGTTTCACTCCACCCCCCCCCCTCAACCTATGATCATTGGTACCAACCAGTGTGCCTTGGCTTCCGTATCCAGCGATAAGGTAGCAATCAAACTGTACGTCTATCATGCCGAGAATCACTTATTCTACTTTCATCAAATGATCCGTGTGTGATAATAGTTCAAGCGGAGAGGAGAGAAGTAGGGGATGCTGCAAACGAATTGCATTGAATTAAATAATCAACGCCCTCACCACTATAGCTTGACTTGCTTCTAATATGACTTCAAAGTTTTAACTTCCGTCTTGATTGATGGAAGGGAGCAAGTAATCCCCAAACGATCCAATTACAAAAATTGTAACCAAATATTTACTACCTGATTTTTAGCAGATATCGACACTTTTTCCCATGCAAACCTTTCACTGAAAGATTAGAAGCGCTAAAAGCCACGCTCTACACTATAAGCACAAGACCCCTAAGACACCTTCTAATTCCTACTACGTGCACTGCTAGTCCACTGAGGCGTTGATATCTCTTACTGTTTCTAAAAGACCTACTTAAATTACTTAAGTAACAAGCCACCAACCTTGGTGATTTTTTGAGCTTCATTGATTGCTGTGAGAGGTCCTTCTACAAACGCTTGCCATTTCGTGATCACATCAGATGGTAGGCCTTTAAGAGAAAGTACACGAAATGTAAATGTGAAAGACGTTACAATGCCTTCCAAACTCGTGCAAACTTCACAAACCTGCAAGAGTCTCAGTCGTGGGAAATTGGTCATTTATAAGATTTGCAATTTGCCACAGATGACCAGAGTAGCCAGGTTTGGGTTTCACTTTTGATGATCGGCAGGCGGCTGATGGATCAGAATCACTAGACCTGAAATAAAATTTAAAAAATTTGGACTATAACATTGTGCAACAGACGTTAGTGAGATGAGTCAGGGCTCTAAGCCTGATTCGGGTATTCAACCAATATTACGAGAAACTCGTATTGAAGTCGTGGTTAGCACTGAAATCTGTACATAAATACTTGCATATTCCTAAACTAAGTAAGCAAATCATTACGTATCCGATAAACCTAACTGAAACACCGCTTCGAGCTGAGGGTTGGTGGTGCTCGTATCATTAACTGAGCGGAAACAGCCAATGTGGCTGATTAAATTTCACAGCGGAGACACAGTGGCAAAATTGTATGCCTGCCAAGTTAGAGCGCACGGAATCGATGATCAACAGATGAAATGAATGACTAATCGCATGAGTCATCCAGTCGATAAGGAAGGTGGGTAGAATGTGATTTCATTATTTCAGTACAAAATCAAAGGCCACTATTATTGAATGAGCTTGAGCGGTTACTATGATCCCTAAAACTGATGCTCTGTGAAGATTATCGAGGCGAAACGATTAAAAGGCATGCCTGGAAAATCGGAGGGGAAGGGACAGGGCACTAATTGGCACACATCCAGTTAACAGAGTGACCAAGCGTATTGGTGTGAATCACGCGTCAAAGTAACCGGGTGTTGCTGATACTCTTAGACTTGAAATAGGCATAAGCCAACAAAATCGCCAAACTCCAAGAGATCATTACGACTGAATAACAAATAAAAAGATCTGTCAACACTACCATTGGCTTTATTCTCGAGAGATAGTACAAGTTGATAGAGTAGACGCATTGAATTTTAACAATGCTGACGTTAATATAGCACTGTACCTGAATAATAGAATTAAGTTGGTGAATGTTTATCCTTAACAGGGTTTTACTTGTGAGAAGGCAACTTGATAATTCCAGAATCCAGAGAGCACACTTATTCCCCACCATTCCCTCTTAAAACTGAACCGTCTTCCTATGCCTCTGTGCTCGAATGCTTGGCTATTAATACAAGTGGCTTACCAATGGATTGAATACCAGGGTGGAACTCAAGACTGTAGGCCTTGCATGGGATTTTGTGAATAGTAGACAAGGGAGGAATGGCAGACGACATTCAAACAACAGAAATTTAATACGAGGAGATCATTCTATTTAAGGTCAAGACTTTTGGAGAAAAGGTAACAAATAGAAACATCCTTCAACGGCAACGCATAGAATAGTTCGAGACAGCAGATGGGAAACCTTGTTGAATTTACACTAATTGATGATGGAATCCCCCGCAAATACCCTTGGCTATTTAAGCCCTGGATTTATAGTCAAGAGAAATGCAAATAACAGTAACTTACTGCTCTTGTGGAATGCAAGAGAGTCGAAGGATCCATTCAATAATATGGGATTCGTGGAGGATATGATTGACCAGGTAGTCAGGCAATTCGGACACTTCTTTCTCCGCTTCTCCAGTAACCTCATCGTCTTTTTTAACTAACAAACCGATATTTCACCATTGAAGACAGAAATCAGTAGGCAGTCTTATTTACTCAAGCAATTCCAAAAGGCATCATACATGATGATTTGACAAATTAGTTGGTACGATAATATTTGAAAATAATGAAAAATCTCAATTCCATATGCCAATTTATTTTCTTTCTTAAGCAGTTATTAACAATGGAGATTTAAGTCCATGTAGACAAGCCTATACTGTAGGCCATTTTGATTCAGCTAGGTACACTACGATTCATAACTATATAAACACCTATTGATTCCTGCAAAACGTCCCTGAAACACCGGTAAGACAGTCTTATTAACTTCTCATTCACCTCCTAGTTTCCTATTGGTTCACAGAGGACGCACGCTTATTGGCTTACTGGAAAGCGAATTGCAATATTACTCCATTTCTGGTTCTATGGTCCCAAATAAGTTGGCCACTAACAAAGAACACAAAAGAACAAATTTCGCTCCACCTCACTCGCTTCTTACCGATTTTTTTCTCGCCCTATCCCAATTTCTTACTCTTGGCTTACATTTTCGTTTTCTTCCACCATTTCCTATGCACTTGATCATGCTTTTCTGAATTAGGAAATGTCACTGTTTCCTTTAAGTAGTTATGAAAATCATTAAACCTGAGGGACTATCTCGAAGGTCATTAAGTGTTTTACCACCTTTACTCGCCTCAAACCCTCCAAAAATCTTGCATTTAATTAGAGGGATGACAGTTGGGCCAGAGACTCAAAAGTAGGCAGCGTCATTAAGCCATTCAGCGTGTTTGACTGTAATACCCTGAATATTGACTTCGAATAAACAGAGATTGATGATAAGGACGATTAAACTAACAATTATAAACCAAAATGAAAATCAGCTTTCCAATCGCTTATATTCCATAGTCTAATTGATTTCTTTTATAAAAGCACCTATTCACAGAAAGAGGAAGGAGAACGTACCTTCCGTTGTATTTTCTTCTGAGAGAGGCTTCGCTCTTACATTGGTGCCAGCATCAGATACTTGTTCAGACGCCTTTGTTGAGGAACATGCAGATACATTTACAAGGTGCTTAATCAGATGTACAACAGCCCTGTGCAAGAGAGAGTTGAAGGGATACTTCACAAAGAGATCCTGAAGTAATAAGATATAACATGTATTAAGAATGAAGTCGTGCATAAAAAGAAGAACAATAGGTGGACGAACCATAACGAGGGGAAGAAAGGATTCTTTGCAAAGGGCTTGTCTCAAATCCTCTACGTTCTTCTCATCACCGCGAAGTTGTGGAAGTATAGAAATTAAATTAACTATCGCCAGACGAGTCTTCCCAAGAGGTGGGTTTAAAACGCCGACGGTGGTAGGCATCTGAGGATAGTTTTGTTGCTAAAACGCACAACAAGGAAACAATAAAAGCCGTGCAATGCAATATCCGATGATTACACGTCATTGAATGTACCGAAAAGACAGCAATATTGTTGGATTGAAGGAGACTGTACAATTTGTGTAGACGAGGAATTAAAACCGAACAAGCTGTAGCTTCGGCAAGCTTAATACGTGCCTTCAAGAGAGGGCAGTTGTTCTTGGTTAAGAGGGGGTTACTGAAGATCATCCGAGTGCTTGGAAGACTGTCCAGAGGGATGTCTGAAATGTATTCGTCGCCACCACTCGGTGGTAGACCATTCGGGCTAAATTGAAAGCAAAAAGATGCTAGTAGTTATTGAGAACCATAGTTAGAAGTTATATTTAAAGAGAAGTTGGTTAACTACGCATGCGATTCCATGAAAACAAACTCACGATTTCGTCTTATCAACCAGCGTAAGCAGGATATCAATTGCAGAATTGCGTGAAGTAATGGAAGAAGTCTCATTCCCGATGACATCTACTAATCGAGTCATAAAGGATTCCCTAAAAGGCAGGATAAAGTGGTAAAAAAGTAGCACAGCCAAGCAGTAGCTTAATTTCAAACACACCCTTCCAAAACATCCAGAATTGCAATGGATTTTGCAAGAAGAACTGTTTCAGGACGATCTTGAGCATTAGAAGCCGTATCTTTTGTCAGCAAGTCGTCTTCATCAGTATCCTCAGATGAAGCGAATACGACGTGGTTTCGATAGCTCCCTATCAACTCAACCAAACATTTACACGCTGATTCCTGTTTCTAAAATCAAAAGCAAAATCTGGAAAAATGGGTGTAAGATCGCTGCCTCACGGAAAGGATAAGAACGTTTGTAAAGCCAAGTCAATAAAACAATTAGAATCAGTTAGCTTCTAAGGATTGCGTGCCTAAGTCAACCACAACCATTTAAGAAAGGGTTTACCAACGCTTAATTTGGAAAAAAGGCTTAGCTGGGGCTGTTGGTTATCGAATCGCTGATGCCTAACCTCGCCGAAGGAACTCACCATGGTTCAGAAAGAAAACGGTTTATAAATATTTAATAAGTTTGTTTTCCCCAGAACAAAGAGTTCAGAACTTCTAAGGATGGATTAATCATTAAAGGACGACATTCAATCAGAGGGATACAAAACCTGGCTCAATATATCGTTGTGAAAGTAAACGTATATTTACTGAAATTGCTATAAGTAATAGTTAAGAGATGACGTACCTCATCAGATTCATCGGGAGAAGAAATCATATCCAGGAGTTTCGAAAACACTTCACATTCAAGGAACCACTAGAAAGAAAAATAAGGAAACGTTGAATATAAAACACATTAAATATGTAATCAACGAAGTAAATAGAAGTCACAACCTTACATTCTTGAATTCCGACAGTGCTTTAGTTAAGAAAGCCTTATTGTAGATTATGTAAAATAAACAATACACGTGAAGTCTTCGCATTTATGCGGGTATGAAACAAGATCCGTATTTTCCATTTCTTCGAATCTTTTCTTTCACAATTTACTTCGATATTCTTCAACCACACCTTACCCTCCACTTGTAAAAACTCTTCCCAAAGCTTGTTTGACATTCTTTTTTTTTGTTCATAAAACCACTTAAGTGCGTTGCAGTTGAATAGATTTTTAGAAGACCCGTTTGAAGGCAATTCTTACCTCTAAGTAATGAAGGACGCAGACGCTATCGCTTCAATCAAAGTTTCACTAGAAGGATCGATTACGATGGACAGTGGATAGAGAAGTAGCGGTGCGATTGGCAACACCGCCCAATGATTTTATAGCAAACCCTGATTTCTAACTACGCAGAAAGGTGCGTTAATCGCTGGGCCACACTTCGTGTCTACTTATCCAGCCCATATCTTGACCATTTCATATATTTATTTGCTGAAAAATTTAGATTAATCTATGCCAAACCTGAATAATGTAACAGTGATCACATCAAACTCAACTTCCACTCTGTTTCAATCCATTCGCTTCTATAATGGTTTTAGCTTTTTCATTAATTACAGATTGAATAGTGTTGCCAGAGGTAAACGAATTAGAACTTTAAGTAAGCAATGCAATCATTCTAGATTTAATGTGTAGCAGATTTTCATCAATTCAGGAAAAAAATAGATTTACTCGATATTATTACCCACTAAGCCTGTAGCATCACAAACCCAATAGGGGAGCACTCATCTACTTCCCAACCAACTAAAAGAAAGCTCAGGTCTGATACATATATTGCTCAAGATATGTCATTATGCATTGTAGAACTGCTTTATGAACATGCCAAAGGTGTTGTTAAGACCCCAGAGAGAGAGAGAGAAGACAGCGACTAAGCCAGACTAGAAAAGGCCAGGTTCATTGACACACAGTGTATTAGACACAGAAGTAGAAAGTGGGAACTCACTTGAGCAATAACATGTTGCTGATTGTTATCTTGGTGTGTGATTTCTATGAGGAGCTCTGCAATGGCCGGGAGGTCAATGTGCCTCAAAACATTTGGCAGGAATTGTCGCCTTGTCGTCCGAAGATACGGCACAAGCTAAAATAATAGCAACAGAAAGCAAAAGTCACAATTGCAAATGCTTTCAAAATTATGGTTAAATTTTTTTCCGTTTCTTTTTTGCAGACAAAAACTTATGTTCGATAGGTTGAAAAGACGAAAACAGTGAGGTGTAGAAAAAGTCGCTTTCAAGTCACGTCCCCTTTAATGGATTACAATTCAGGCACCTCTAACAACAGATATAATAAAATTCATAAATAATTCAAGAATACAGAAGGAAGTCAAGTTCTTTCGATACCCGCGAATTTCCAATCTACTTTTGGAAATTGGAAATTGTTTGGCCTTGTCATCGGCAGAGGTAACGAGGTTTAACAAATAGAGACTGGAATATTGTGTTAAATAAAAAATACCTAGTAAAGCCCAAGAACAAGCTCAACAGAAAATAAAAGCGATAATGATGTCAGGAGAAAGGGCCTTGTCTTAAGTTGGGAGAACAGATGGGGCAATAACGAATAACAATAGAAACGGCACAATTAAGCATGCACTCTTTCTTCAACTTCATCCATTAACGCACTTTTAGCTTCAACACAACTGGGTGCGCGATAAACTTACCTCTACGTGGTACACCCTAGGTAACGTACACTCATACGACAAAAGTCTATTAACCGGCAGTTGACTTCTGACTACAAACAACCATGACCCGACACTATGTCATATTCCTCCTTTTCCACGATACCCACCTTTACCCCTTTCTCTACGTTTGTGTCTGCCTCTTTTACTTCTTTGATCCACTCTACTATTCTCCCTCTCGAATTTTTGTGGCTTTTAACATTCCTCCCTTCTGTGAAACCCGAAGTCAACTAAAGAGCTAATGATAACTGTAACAAAGTGCCATTTGGTATAAATGTTCAAAATAATCATCTTTTGAACACGCTGACTTTAAGAACATCTAGCAATACAAGCTTATGGACAGACCATTCACAGTCATAAATAGCTAATTATCAAAATTCGGACAACAAAGTTTCACCTATCATCCATTTTACCTCACCATCAAACCTATGGGATTATTGTTTCAATTTGATCAAATTGGTGCAATAAGTAGTAAATCTTCAACATGAATTTGGTTCAGTTTATATGATAGTAGGAATCGAAAAAAGTGATTAATGCTGGAGTTCAACTCCAGGTGCTGTTGTGTAAAATTCACAACAAGCTTTAAAGAGATGGAATAATCGAAATGAAGTAAGTCATGGAAAGCGGTGAAAGAATTAACCCTTTCATAAGGGAAGCGATAGAAGGAATGTTTCAAGAATAGTCCCTGAAATACTGAACATTAAATTTGCTATTTGAGCTGAAAGTCACCATTTAGTCATCTGTTCAGAGAGTGAAATATGAGATAGAAGGCACAACGCACCTAATGATGTTGAATAGCAATCAGGAATGTAGAGGCCGGAGGCTTCACTTTTACCTTCAAAGATGAGCACATATTTTCACTTATCATGCATGGACCAATGCAATGCAGGGAGTTGGACAGCCTCACATTCATAGATGAGACAAGCTACACATCAGAAATTAAAATCAAATTTACCAGATTCCCGATTTTGATTACAACAACAATCATATAAAGTACCCTTTAGAAAGCGTTAGCCAACACTAGTACTGGGGAAAGAGAGCACCAGAAGACTTCGCTGGCGAGAATTCCGAACCATTAGGCAGATTTAACCAGCGAGTGGCTAGCAATTCTGTCTACTATACGTGAACCGGCGAGAACTGAAACTCTGACATCCAATTTCGTACTATAACGACAAGACCAATTAAATTTATAATTGCAATGCCTAATTAGTCTACAGAGAGGTTGCACTCCAACTAAACTTAACTGAATAGAATGCTATTCTAGTACTAAGTACTGAATTAGTATTTATATCAAATAATATAACTACTACTACTACTCCCGTGAACAATCAAATGGTGTGTTAAAGTCAAATAAAGTATTTTTAGTTGTATATACATATTTAAACAGAGAGAGAGCGAAAAGCGTTGTAAACATTTACATATCTGTCAATTTAGATAGCATTAATTTTGCTACCCAACGGTGTATACCCAATGAACAACATAATAACAAATATCAGTAATGAATGGGAAAGCAGAAAAGGAGCCTCGAGCCGATTTTCGGACCTAGGGATAAACCACTGTTGGGTGGGAGTTTAGCAATCACAGGCTTTGTGATTAGCAGCTGAATAATCTGTGCAATTCCTTTTAAAATGAATGACACATTAGATCAGTAAAAAGCATTACTAATGTCGATTTGAAGTAGTCTACGATGAAATTCGGACTCTAGAACTTGAGATTAAAATGTTATAAAATAATTCGTTTGATGATTGCTCAAAAATGAAGTAAGGATTGACAAAATATATACTCAATCTTCAAGTAAACAACGATGAATAGATATATAGTAATTTGTATTGACAATGCACTCAATTCCGGAGTTTGTTTTACAACTAAAAGAGGCTTTGTAACTTAGTGCATTCAAGTACGCTTCTTGAGTAAGGCAACTGCTAATACGCTTAGTTGACCATCGCTCAAATGTTCTAATGGGGTGATTGATTAAATGAAAGCCTGCAAATGAATTAGTAGCAAATTTAAATACGTCCCGCTACAAGCGTTAACACAATAAAAAGATTAGCAAGGGTTAATGATAAGCACTTGAATGGAGAGCTAAGACAATATTTTAAGTAAGAAACTTCAAGTTACAAAATGAGGAGGGAAATCTGCGTGAGTTTGTCATAACACGGCAATGAAGTAAGTGAAGAGGAGATTAAAAAGACGGTGAAATCAAAAGACACAGTCGTCCGAATTTCTCAATCCCTTACACTTAACCGCCATAATTTCCCTTTAAACTATCTAATGCCCTAATATCAACTTGGACATAGGTCTATTCTCAAAACCAGGATTTGCTTTCTCATAAAAGATTTATTCAACAAAGGCAAAAAAATAATAAAATAGATAAAATCAGGAAAATGGATTTTGGATTTGTACATGCATAAATAATATAGAGACGGTTAAAACGTACCTCATTAGCCTTGTTAGAAAAGAGATTGGTCATTATTTTGACAAAGAATCCGGAAGAAAGTGGATTTGGAGAGCACGGAGTGTCAATAAAGGAAATAAGCTTATCCACAAAAGGCAAAGAATCAGTTTCAGGATTTATACCACCGGGAACAATATAATCCAATAACCCAGGAACGCGGGAAGATAGAATCTCGGCAGCAACCGACGGACGCCTATAATACCAGAATGAAAAGTACAAAAAGTCCTTACTTAAATCTAACAGTATCGTAGGTTATATTCGACTGATCGATCACCATTTCAATGAGTTTACTCATTCGCTCGGAGGTAGTGAGGCTACAGTATAATTTAATCAAAAATGATATATGTACAAATTTATCACATCTGTGCTACGTGACGCTACATGTTGCAAAGCGTAATCATCATCCAAAAATTCTTCTAAAGTTGTTTCCTGTTTAAAATTAGTTACTTAAAAGCTTCATTACCTCTGTAATTTGCTGAAGACTAACTGTACTTTCCCAAAACATTTTAAATAGATGAACATAGACAATTTACAGAAATATTCATCCATATAATAATCTAATCGAGCCAATCAAGAAATAGACAACTTTATATTTCATTTGTGCAATAAACTCTATTGGCGTATCGTATCAATAAAACTACAAAATATTTGCGTTATAATAAAAGTTTGATTATTATTTTATTTCATCTCTAAGTTTGAATAGATGGATAATAGCCCTTTTAGATTTGAAAATAATCATTAAGTTATATTTATTGAATTAATTGTGCTGGATGATTAGCTTTCAGCTGTTTATTTAACCTACTGCATTTAATAGTTAATTGTTTTTATACTGATGATTGGTTCCGCTGTTTCACTTTCCGAAAACTTTCATAACCGTCAAACTTTGGCTTTTATCTATACAATACAATAAATTTTTTGAACATAGGATTTTCAGCACTAATAATTAATTTTTATGATCGTGATGTAGAAGTCGGTTCCAATAGCTCTAGTCATAACACGCACAAATGTTTTGATTTTTTCAAATCTTCAACTACATGGTTTCATAGAAAATTATCTATCGCCGAGTCTTTTAATCACATTTAGATTGTGAAATAGGACAAATTCTGGTTAAATCTCACTTTATTTGCTCAATAAAAATCCTTTCCTTAGAAACATATTTATTCATTTAACATTATCCACCAATGAACCCCAAAATTTTACCTTGTATTATTTTTCTGCTTCGTTAAAGAATAAGTACTACACTATACCAATAATTTAAATTAATTTTGAATTATACGTTAATATAATTAGCTGCTTTCCATTAGTCACAGTAAATGCAAGACCATTTAGGACATATATCGGGATGCATGAATAAATGGGCTAACTTTTACAGTCTCACCTGTGAAAAAGAAATAGATTTTGCTAATTGCATTATTACTTAAGTATTTACACAATCTAAGTTCCATCTAATTCGGCCTCAACTCCTCCTCCACTTTGCAATCGCAATCACGTTATTTAGTCGGATATCTTTGCTTTATTCTAATTACAGTGTCTCATAATCATCACTTAATTCTCCAGTTTATGACCTTTTCTTTTAGCTATGTAAAGGAAATATTGGACAATCATCAATATCTTCTCACTTAGACTGAAGGCAGGATTCACCTCAATACAAGTTTTCCCTCTTTACGAATCAGGAGAACGCCGGCCATCCATTCTCGTCGTCACCACGCATATGATTGATGAAAGGTTTGTACTTTTTAAAGGAATCGTAGTGTGTACGAATACCCTTAACGGCTCTGGACAAACTGACCAAATTCTATTCTCTGAAATTTGCCCTGGACACACTGTAGTACTTCATTTCGGACAAGTAACTGATACGTAGGGGGACTAGAATAATGGTAGAATTTGAAGATAAATTTGTTTGACTTTATGATTGTCAAAGAATTAAGCATTGTTCCACGTAAAATTTATTAAATGAGTCACTACAAATACTAAGTTAGCATAAATCGAGAAATTTTTATTAATTTGACAGCCGAGACATGTTACGTATGTAAATTGCTCATCAGATATTGCTAGGCTACGAAAACTTAGTCTCAGATAAAGGGAGAGATGTGCAAATACTTCAAAGTCGCTTTATTAACTTTGCAATCTACTCTAATTTATAGAAAATATAAGTAATAGCTATTCCATTATAAAGCGTTATTTACCTGGATTCACTTTCTAGTGCTTGAGGCAGAATGCAATTGCATTTTAATTTGACAAAGGCTATCCACATGTATATGGAGCACGTATATAATGCAATTGTTGTTTGTTGGTGGACTCTGACCAACGTGCACATCGGAGGTGAACGGATTAATTACCTCCATTGCCCACTCATAGAACGCAGTGTTGGAGTCTGGCAAAATAGAGTGGTTTGGAAGGTGCGAGATTCTCACCAGAAAGGGTGCTTTACTAAGTGGGCTAAGGTGTCAATAAAAAATTCTAAATAATTGCTCCCTAGTAATTTAACTGTGTCCTGTCCCCTGGGTTGTGACCGTTGGGCTGCCTGTTAGGAGTATTTTTTGGGTTTGTTCAGCGTTGACATGGAGCTCAGTTGTTAAATACACTTTCAGGTATGAGGACTCCGTAATGACTTTGGTCATTGATTGATTGAGAGGACCCTGCTTTGCCCTGCTAAAGTTGTATTCCCCAAGATTGTCAAATCTGTCATTACTTGAACCTTATCAGATAGAAGAACAGTTAAACAAGAAAAAAAAACAAGCAATTAATTTATTTTTATTTAAAGGCCCAAATATGATGATGAAATTAAAATTTCGATTAAAAAGCTTTTCATTATTTATTCCGTACCACACCACAAGGATTCGCGGTTTTCCTGATTTCTACTTTTCAAATCTGTGCTATTTAAAGATCACCTTTCTTTTGTTTAAGTACATTCACAAATTTCTCGAAGAAAAGTTCATTCACGAAAGTTTCTCTTAAAGCCTCGTTGTAACTTTAATCAACTGCATAGTTACAATAGTCTCTTATTAGAATTATATGTGAATGAACTTTCGTTTGCCTAAGCCGTATTAAATTTATGGAAACAGACAATAACCCCGCATCAAAAGTAGAGCAACGGCTTGAAGGTCATACATGGCGCTTTCGCAATACACAATTTTTGATTTCGGTATCAGGAAATTTACCAGCTTATTTGATTTAAAATATTCAACACAATCTTGTGGCGGATTGCTACGGTAGTAAAGCCTGACCGACTCAGAAATCTCTATGGCAGATTCCCTAAGTAAAGCCTGACTGACTTAGAAATCTCTATGGCAGATTCTACAACATCTAGCTAGACCGACTCAGAAATCTCCATGGCAGATTCTCAAACATCTAGCTACCGGCTCAGAAATTTCTATGGCAGATTCTCCAACATCTAGCTAGGAATCAGAAATCTCTATGGCAGATTCTCCAACCTCTAGCTAGATCCCAGAACAAGCTAAGCTATAGCCCAGTACAGAGGATACAGACGTGTAGCACGGAACATTTATTCAGTAGCGGAAAACAGACGTGTAGCAAGGAATACGTTTATTCGATACGGGAAAACAGACGTGTAGCACGGAGCACGCTTATTCAGTACGGATTCAGACGTGTAGCACGGAGCACGTTTTTTCAGTACGGGTATCAGACGTGTAGCACGGAGCACGTCTATTCAGTGAGCATATTAGCGTGTAGCACGGAGCACGTTTATTCAGTACGTATATTGATTGCGAAGTGTAATGTTGGCAAAGCGATTAGTTATCAGATAATTCGTTTGAACTTTAATAGCTAAATATTTCTGAGTAGTATTCTATAGCAGGATTTCTATTTGGTCATTGATGAAGTGTCCCACAATCTGCACAAATGAAGGCACTAAAGTAAGGCTAATAAAACAATCACAAATAATTAGTTGCCAATATACTGGGCAGTAAATACGATCGATTTACCAGATTTTTGTAGAAGAAGGCTGAAATCTATCGAATTTTTAAACTTTTCCTTCAACTTTTAGTTACCTGTCTTAGAACTCTTATCTTTTTTGTATCTGCCTTGAAAGTTATTATTTTTTGAAATGACAGGCTTTATGATATTTATCATTAGCCCATAAACTTTGACTTCATCTTCCCCATGGGGGGGGGGGGAGTACATTTATAGCAGTTAATTCATAGCAGTTCATTAGCCGTCTTGCTTCCCAGTATCTCTGGATTTCCGTCGTTGCCTTTAGGGCTGGACACCGAATCAGGTGGGTCTACTCTATTTCCTCCTGTAGGGGGGCATGTGGGTTGAGTGTATACTCCCAATCTGTGAAGAGGGGGCTGAGTGGCTCCTGTAGGTTACATAGAGGGTATGTGGGTTGAGTGTATACCATTTCCTCCTGTAGGTTACATAGAGGGGATGTGGGTTGAGTGTATACTCTTAGGTTACATAGAGGGCATGTGGGTTGAGTGTATACTCCCAGGCTACATAGGGGGCATGTGGGTTGAGTGTATACTCCCAATCCAGAGGGCATGTGGGTTGAGTGTATACTCCCAGTCTGTGAAAGGGCATATGGGTTGAGTGTATACTCCCAATCTGTGAAGGGGGCATGTGGGTTGAGTGTATACTCCCAATCTGTGAAGGTCCATGTGGGTTGAGTGTATACTCCCAATCTGTGAAGGTGTACATGTGAGTTGAGTGTATACTCCCAATCTGTGAAGGTGTTTATAGGCAATCGTGTTCGGTACGTAGTCTAAACTCATCAACGGCGCAATCGTGTCCGGTTGCTTTGAAAGTATTAGTTAACCTGATCGCCATGAAGCCATAAAAGCGAAAGCATGACACTAACTCATGTGAATACTAATAGGGGAAAGGACATTGCATTTGTCTAGGGGGGGGGGGGGGGGGTGGATACACTATAGTGGCAAAGCCAGACCTCCAAGCATTGCCAGTAGCATGAAAGTGTTTGACGCTACAAAAGAATGTTATCCCATAACCGATCCATCTAGACCTTCATAGACTAGATAATGGTTAAAAATTTACCCAATTTCTCAGATGAAACATTGAATCGCAATGAGAACAAGTTACTTTCGCTACAAAGTCTGATCGCCGAGTGAGGATGATTTCACAGAAAAATGCAGAGGCATGTGGAATTTCATTGGATTAACTGTCAATAATTATTTAAGAGACACGAGCTTTCGGTGAGATCATGTATGTTGACGTTAGTCAATTGTCCAGAAAAAAGAATGTAGGTAAAGGATAGTAATGGGCAAGGGACGGTGTGCATAAGAATATAAAACCACAGAACATATTACTTCAATAGCA